TTATTTCAAAATTGAAGTTATCATATGACAAATATTCAGTGGACAAAGTTTGAACAAAAATCTATTGTCACTTTTATTTCAGAGGAATTACCTTAAAGGGAAACAGAAATTTAAAAAAAAGAATCCCAGGCTGTTAGATAGACAGAAAAGGCTTTTTCAAATGATAAATGGAACTTGTATGGATTAATTGTATAAAAATATTGTTATCTTATAGCAAGAGCAACAACACCGTGGAAAGTTACACCCAAAACAACCACAGAACCACTGTTTGGTCCCATGTCACCTCCTCGACCAGGTGTGGCACCACCCCAGCCGTCACCATCGTCAGCACTGTCAGACGCCAGCAGCACCTCAAGTGTGATGGGCAAAACTGGTGAGTGGATGGTTACCGATAAGACAATCCTCACACCAGGTCCCAAGCTCCCAGAGCGACAGCATGCAGGATGGCAAGTGTCAAGGAAGCCTGAGACTGAAGCAGAAGAACTTGGTACTCCAAAGGGGGGAGGGGACACTGAGCTGAATGGGAAGGAGAGTGACAAGAAGAAAAAGAAGAAGAAACACAAGAAGGAGAAGAAAAAGAAGAGGAAGAAAGAAGAGGGCAAGAAAAAGTATGACCGGCTTAGTGAGTCAGATAAGGAGGAGGAGGAGGAAGAAAAAGATAAAGAAAAACAGAAAAAACTGAAAAAGGACAAGAGCAAAGAAGACAACAGATCAGAAGAAAAATCAAAAAGTAAAAAACATAAGAGGAAACACAAAGGTAATGATGATGATGACAATAATGTAAACCCAAGCAAGAAACCATGCTTGGTTTCATATGCAGACAGCAGTTCCAGCTCAAGTGATGAACATGCCTCAAACAGCAGAGAGTCTGAGAAATCAGGAAATGTTGACTCACATGGTCCTACAACTCAATCCAGAGGTGTGTATTTGCATTGACTTTGATAGTTTTTGGGGGTAACTGTCATAAATGATTAACCTTTTATTCCTGTGCAGTGTTGAACAGAGAGGTGATGAGAGTTAAAGAAATCATCAACTAGGTGTATTACCTTGATGTACTAGCAAATTCTCAATACTAATGCTGACCATCTGGTGTTCAATAAAAGATGATAAGCCCTTATTGTGACGCTTTTGAAGTATAAGTTCACTGACTGAATGCTAAAACTTCTCTTAATCTTGGTTACCACAGAACATTATGTTTTCGCGGTGTATCTCCTTGAGCATCACCAGCAATAATATATATATATATATATCAATGGGTTATTGACCCAGCATAAAGTCAAAATGGCTGGATATTGGCCAGGTTTTTTGGCATGTTTGTTGATCAAGACCGAGGTGAAGGTCCATAAACACGCCAAAAAAGAAAGAGACCAATCCAGCCACCTTGACCGGACTAACTTGGTCAATAAAGGTTTTAAAATATATGGAAAAGGACACTATTTTCTTGCGGGACACAGCGGGTAATCCCAAATGAAAGAGATAGCTCCATCTTGCCCGCTCAGGTAACCAATCACAGTGCAGGATTTGATTATCTTGCCTGCTCATGGAGCTGGCCATAATTATAACAATGTTTGCTATTGCCTTTTTAGTGCCAGTTATCCATGAGGATGAACCTAGAAAAAAGAACGCCGCACGCAGGGCAACATGGGATGGATCGCGTGATTCCTCAACTGTTACTCAGTTGCTGAGTGGCAGTAAAGGTCTCCATGGTTACGGAGGCTCAGGTGGGTCCCTAATTTCATGTGTTTCTTTGTTTTTCCCACAAAAATAGACAGTGGAAAGCTCTTATACAGACTGAATTAATGTGTGCAAATGTCATACCTTCCAAATACAAGGTTAAGTGAAACACAATCAGACAGTCTCCCATTTTGAAATGAAATGTCTACTTTAAGGATACACTTGTGGATTGAATGAAGTCTGGAATGAGGGTCTACAACTTTAACAATACAATGTATTGCCACAGGAAAGCAGCCACATAGCCATCAACACACATTTCACCTTCTTCCCAGATTTCCTGCTTTATTATAACGCCACAATCCTAGTCAAAAGTTTGAACACAATTACCAATTTTATTTCTTTCCTTCCCCGCCTTTCCCAACCCCACTTGTCTCAATGTTCAGGTTTTTAATATATAATCCTCGAAGAACTCAATCAATATTGAATGGTGGGAGCTTACGGGGGACTTACGAAAACATTTCTTTGAAACATAGATAAAGTTGACTTGTGAAGTATCTCTGTTTTGATTTTTCTTTTAGTTAAGGTTCCGTTACTTTTTTGTATGATAAAGCCTTTAAGAAAATATCTTCCTGTCATCGATTTTTGCAAATAATCATTATAATTGTTAATTGCAATTAATAATTATTGCACCGCTCAGTGGCATCATGGGAAGGAGGTAAAAGCGTTGTGGACAGGAGCGGTGGCAGACCAGACAGAAAACGACAACGACGTGACTCGTGGGACGAGGATTACGACCGAGGAAAGGTAAAAACTTGTTAATTTATTATGAAAACATTGAATGAGCGCTTGATACGATGAAAATCTTTGGAAGTGCACAAAGGTATTCAGGAGATCTTCTAGTCTAAAAATTTTCCTTCCTTTGGTTGACCACATCATTTTATTTCGCATTTCTAGCCATAAGTTCAGCTTTTCACTATCGTTGATTCTTGTTTAAAAATCTTAAATCCCGCTAGATCATCAGGTTTGGAATCGGCTGGTACTAGCACGATTTGGCACTAGATACTTTCCGTCCAGTGCAGCATGGGCATTCATACCTCTATGTCTTTTTAATATTCGTTCTCACGTAGGAAAAGAAGGTTAAGAAAAATAAGGATATCAGAGAAAGACATTTTAATGGCAATCCTTTCCAGCGAGAGCACGAACGACGAAGTACAAAACAGGTATGACTAGCTTGGCTTCCAGTTTCTCTGCTATGAAGAAAATCCCCAATAGTTGGTCAAATTATTTGCTACCTTCCTTAGACCTAGCGAGAGTCAGGACAGGTTCCTTCTCCCACCACCGCCCTGAAATATTTTGTTCTGTGGATACAGGTCCTGTTCAGTTCATAGTCAGCCCATAGACACTGTTTTGGTGGGATCCCTGTAGTCAAGTTTGGAACTTATGATATTGTGGTGGTATTTTGTTTTTCAGGGTTTCAAAGAACGTTTTTCGCGGCAGCTCTCCAAAAGTCACCATTCACATCACGGTCACTTCAGCAAATCACATTCGTCTCGGAAATACCGCAGATTATCCAGTTGAAGAACAGCGGCGCACGTTATACCGGAAATTTGTAGCTTAGAAATAAGAACCGACAAGAATCAAGAAGATTACTAGGAAGATTCTCGATGTACGTTAAAACTCCCAACACCAATGTAAAGAAAAAAGTTTGATAATCACTAAGGAGAATTGATACTATGTCTAAATCTTTGAAAATGAGTACGCTTCCCACGTGTCCAAATTGTTTTAACCGCAGAGAGGGTAAGTGGTTATTATAAATCTTTCTCTTAATGAGATTGCCACACATTGTGTAGAGTGGTTTTCACTTGATTGTCGTAAATAGTTTTGCATTATAACGTTACACGATTGGCTTAAAAAAAACTTGCGCCACTTTTTCATTCAATCAGGAGTAATTTAACCAAAACCGATCATGACGCGCTCGCACACGTTTTCCCGCGCTTTGCGTCAGCTACACGTATTTAATTGGAGTTTTGATTGGTTCAATTTATTGTCTGTGTCCTTTGTGATTGGCCAGAGTGATTACTTTGGCTTTGGTTGTACGACACTCAACTGAAAACTGCTCTGTGTTATCATTATTATAGTTACTTTACTATCTATCCAAACTTAACTTTTTAAGACTTGCTTTTCAAACAGTTGGTTTGTAAACTCGTCAAACGAAGTAACTTACGAATGCCTTAATATGTTACATATGCTTTTAATAATTTTTGAACCTTTTCAGGGCAATATTTATAATTTCACGCAAATTTCTTTTAGAAACATACAGGACCATGTCAAATTTGCTCGTATAAAGGTCCGTGTGTGGCCGAGAGAAAACTAGGTAGTGAAATGTTTCTCTGTATTTCGTTGTGTATTTATCATGTTAAGGAAGCACAGCAGTTATTTGTTTTAACTTCTTGAAATTTGTGAAATGGATTGGAACTGAAGTTTTATGACAGGAGATACTGGGTGCTTACCATTTGTCAGAATAAACCGGTTGGGATGACCGTTGAATAATGGTAAGGGTTTTTCCAAAATCAGCAAACCAACCGAACGAGATGGCGCTTACCATGTGCAATTCGATTTCTCGTAATTGTTTTCGGCTGATGAGAGACTGGAAACTGGAAAATTTAGCAAATGGTAAGGAAATTTCCACCGTTCCGTTCCGAACGGAGAAAGAGGACTACCCCTGGAGGTAGTCTACAATTTCGGAACAGATTTTCCCGAAAATTACTGTTCCATTTGACTTTCAACCGAAATTTCCGGATTTTTTTGCTAAATGGTAAGCACCCACTTAGTAATATAATTATGGAAAAATGGCTCGAGTATTTGAAAAGAAATAACTTGAGCGGAAAACGCAGGCGTTTTTCTTAAATTGAGAGGAACTGAAGGTTCAAGTGAAAGAAAATTTTTGTTTCTTTCTTTTCTTTTCTTTTTTTTTTTTTTTTGTGTGTAAATATCAACTTTGGGGTTCACAAACGAAAATCCCATAGCGGGATGCGGGACCTTTTTGACACCGTCAGGGACCGGTATCCAGTGTGTCCTGGCGGGCAACTCTCACAATCTAAAGGGTGCGTTTGCCCTTGTAAGGGAAAAATGTTATAGAATGTAGATTTTGGGCTGCTATCCACCTTTAGTGTCTGCTAAAACAATTAGAACACTTCCCCAAGTCTTTATGAGCGATAGTCAATGGAAATCTCGGCTTCTTAGTCTAATTGTATACTGCCCGGTGCACTTGTATTAAAAATCCTACGATCACATTTGTTCCTGTATAAAGATAGCATCATTAATAAACGTTCCAATGACTTTTGAAGACAGTGTTCAATTTCTAAAGACTTACTTTACCGGCAAGTTAGCTTGCTATTGCAACAGAAGACAACGCCGGCTGGTCGCGCGAGAAATGACTTCCGTAGTTTCCGCGTTTTCGCTCTCGGGAGGGGCGGGTCAACCCTTGGGTAGCATTGTTTTTGTTTGTTGGTCTGAAATTGGGCATGCTTTAGATAAATCTATGAATTTTGGGGAATTTGAAGCCCTTCTGAAATGTTTACGCAATAAAAGACTTGCTAGACGTCTGTAATAGGGAACCGATTTGTGGGTTACATCTAAAATAGGGTAGAAAATCATCTACAACCAGGACTACCACAACCTAAAGGACCGAAAAAAAAAATATTCAGGCCCCAGAATTTTGCCCAACGCCCCCCCCCCCTTTCCCCCTCTTCTCCCCTCACAAAAAAAAAAGTTCCCACGCTCGCGCGTTCGCCGCTCTCTTGATTTAGCACGTCGCGAAAGCCTATCGGGGGTGGGGGAAGGAAGATAGCGTGACTAGCCCAAAATGGTCGGCAAGAGCACAAAAAATATAAAACGACCCGCTTGAGGGTTTAGTCGCAAGACTGCTTTCTTGTTTTTCATCTGTATTCATTTTACTTAGGTTCGATTGCATATTTGATTTATTCCAATGTTTATTTATTTCTGTGTTTTATTCAATTTTTGCCATATATTCCGATCTATTCCCCCGTGGGTTAATTCAATTTTCAGCGACAAACTTCCGTCCGGTACAATATCACACGAACCGATCATCCGTCTCCATCTCAAAGTCCACATAAAAACCAGTTTCACAACAGGTACAACAGGCTGATTGACGTCAATCACGTGAGCACTGATTGGCCGTCTTAGAATAGTTCTTGCCGTTGATTGGTTGAGTACACGTATGTTTCTAAATATGGTGCGGTATTGCATCAGCCAAGGGTTCAAGACACGCGGCACGTACACTTTACAATAAATTTCATCATCCATCGAGAAAATGGCGGAGTGAAATATTTGCGGCCAAAGCTCCTCGTGCAATTTTATTGCACCCTTTACAACCATGGAGTAAGTATATCATACATCGCTTGAAGCTTACAATGATCGAAAAATTGCTTTCATAAAGATCTTAGTGTGTTCTGAACGTAGAAAAACTCGCTGAAACCCCAGAAAGAACAGTAGTTCGAGAACACGCCGTTCGTGTTGATCACGTTAAGTTACTACAACAGCCGAGTCTTAAAAAATTTTAGCTTTAAGATAAATAATTAGCTTTGAAGATGAATAAACTAAGCTGGAAGGCCGTATTAGTAACATATGGACAGTGTATGGCTTTAATTTCGCTTTAAATCGGCCCTGTGAACGTTTCCATCCCTATGAATCGAAGTGTATAAAATTACAAAGCGTGGTTTTAGTATTGAACTAATGGCGGTCTTCGATTTACGTTTCAGTTCTCAACGACGCGCCCAAGCTCTCTCTCACACATCGATTATAGATGGCCAGAACTTATCACAAATCCAAAATGGAAGACATCTCGTTATTTTCGACATCCGCAGTGTTAGAAGAGCTCGAGCTCTTCGACCCTCTTCCCGCCATAGGAGAAGACGGGTTCTTAGATGAGTATGACGTGTACAGTTTTATGGAAGACGCTTGTGTGAAACCTCCTCCTAACTTGCTAGCTGAAGATCTTCTGCAAGAATTTGAAATCGATGGTAAGGATCATTTTCTGAAGACTTTTTCCGTCAATCACGCAAATGTATTTACGTAGATCATGTCTGTTTCCTTGAGTGCTGAAGCTTATCTCTTCCTTTCGAGCTAACACAACAAGAGGGTTTCTTACATCCCCTCCCCCCTCCCACGCGCACAACAAAGTCGTGAACAAATTATCAGGAATTTCGTCAGCGGACAGTCATGGTTGCATCATACCCTTGCATCAGCTAAATTTACTTAAATCAAGAATAGTTTCTTTCCCGATTTTTGTGATTGCAAATGTCTATAGTTGCGGAGATGGTTTCTGTTGAAAGTGCAAACCAAGGTTTGACAAAATGTACAATGTTCTCTAATTTCAGCTGGCAATGGCCTGTTGGATGCTGACTGGATGACAGAAAAACTGGAATTCAGCAACACGGAGCCAGTGGCTTTCCAAGAGACTGACACATGTGTAAATCTTGGTGGAGTGGATTTGACAACCTTGGAAGTGGTCACTGCTGTAACAAGTGAGCCTGAGAACACCACCGATACCTCAGAAAGCACGATTCCAGTAACAACAGATCAGTCTGCAGACAACATTTTTGCAAATGTTGATGAAATACTCAAGAGACTCTGTGCAGATAAGAAGATACTCCTCATTGAAGAGCAACCTAGTAGCCCCACATCCCCGTTACAGAGTGTTCCTGATGTTGAGATGAACTCTCCAACTGCACTCCTTTCCCCAAAGTCAGATGTGAGTGATGAAAGCACTTCACTGGCCTGTTCAGAAGGGGAGAGTTTCTCTTGTCCTTCATCACCAGAAACGCCTGTCAGGAAAAGTGATGTGACACCCCTTTCAACAGTTACAACTCGGCCAAAGCCAACATACTTTGCGCCATACCCAAAGGAAAAGCCTGCTAAGGTTAGAAGTCCATTACAAAAGAAGAGGAAGCGTGAGCAAAACAAAGATGCTGCTACTCGTTATCGCGTTAAGAAACGCGAGGAACAGGAGCTTGTCCAAAAAGAACTTACTGGGTTGGAAAAAGATAATGTTGACCTGAAGGAGCAAGTTATGTCTTTGTCTAAGGAAATTGAGTACTTGAAAAACCTGATGCTTGAAGTTTATAAAACCAAGCTACAAAAACAGTGTTTGCTTGCTTCATAAGATTAAGTAAAAGTCATTTTTGCGTAAATAAAGTTAAAAAAGCTAACATTTTTGCTATTTCCAAGTGATATGCAGTTTGCCAAGCTTCCCAGTTTTTGTTTTGATATAATTTCTCAATATTTTTAAGCTGTTTTACAGCATGATTTGTATATTAAAGGATTTTAGACATGAACTAGTCTGGCTTTTTTTGTTGACTGAGCTTTTAAGGTATGGAAAGTGACTGTATAACTTTAGCAATTCAATATGATCCAGTCAGGGAAAATTGACATTAAAAGAAAAATCAGGGAAAATTCAAATAATTAACACAGCTGATATAACACCATTGAAGAAGAAATTTGCTGAAAACTTATCTGGCTTGATGAATGAGTGGAGGCATGAGTCTGCTCTGGTGTATCTGTCATGTACTAACATGGTCAGAATTTCCTTTCTATTGGGGAATTTTGAAAAGTTCTCTCTGTGCAACCATGTTTCATGGGTTGATAAACTGGCTGGGAGGGAACTCCAAAGAATCCAAGCACATTGGTGTTCAGTTAGAGATCAACAGTCTGCACAGCTGATTCTCTTACTTGAAGTGGCATGAACCAGAGATTCCCAATAGGCCCTTGGCAGGATCCGGTCACATGGTACTGAATTAATTACGCTGGGACGCAAGTTACACAGTGGGACTTACAAAACAAAGGAAAGTCGGGCTGGACTGGTACGAGTTCTTTTGTTTTTGAAGTCCCACTGAGTAACTTGCGTCCCAGCTTAATTAATTCCGTACCATGTGACCGGATCCTGCAAAGGGCCTATTATGGTAATTCCTCTGAAATAAAACTGACAATAGATTTTTGTTCAAACTTTGTCCACGGAATATTTATCACATGATAACTTCAATTTTGAAATAAAATAGGAGGTGCCCATGCTCATTAAAGAGTAGTGAGGCATTGAAAATGTCCCATTTTGGCATTATTTAATGCTTANAACACCATTGAAGAAGAAATTTGCTGAAAACTTATCTGGCTTGATGAATGAGTGGAGGCATGAGTCTGCTTCTCTGGTGTATCTGTCATGTACTAACATGGTCAGAACTTCCTTTTTATTGGGGAATTTTGAAAAGTTCTCTCTGTGCAACCATGTTTCATGGGTTGATAAACTAGCTGGGAGGGAACTCCAAAGAACCCAAGCACATTGGTGTTCAGTTAGAGATCAACAGTCTGCACAGTTGATTCTCTTACTTGAAGTGGCATGAACCAGAGATTCCCAATAGGCCCTTTGCAGGGTCCGGTCACATGGTACTGAATTAATTACGCTGGGACGCAAGTTACACAGTGGGACTTCCAAAACAAAGGAAAGTCGGGCTGGACTGGTACGAGT